CCCTGCTGGAAAACTTAATGATCCATCCGAGGTTTGATTTCCAAGCATGATGGAAACTCACAGGTCGTGGTGCCTCCGTGGGTGTTACCGAATGATGTTGGGGTTTCTCTTGGCCGTGTGAAACATTCACCTCTTCTCTCGGGCTCACCCTGGTGAGATGTGAAGGGAGAAGGGCACAAACCTGCTGCTCACTGACCTGTCACCTCTTGCAGATGCTGTGAACCTCGGGTCCTGGCTCCAGAGGGGTAACAGCACCGGCCTCCATCCGCGAGGCACGTGCAACAGCGAAGGGAATTACGTTTTTATTCCCGGAAAGAGCCAGGGGTTGGAAAAGTCCAAATTGCTCGAAGCTCTGTCATTGAGAGCTTCCAAATCGAGCTGATGTACCTTGACCCGAGGCCCAGCACCAAACAGGCTGCCCTGCTCCCTGGGTGATGGGCTCCTGGCGAGGCTGGTGGTGCCACTGTCCCGTTTCCATAGGGATTGACTCCACGCTCACCTGTGTGAGGGTTGGGCTTAGGAGTAGGAGAATGGATGGAGACTCTCCTCGGCCTCAGGAAAGCTCCTCACTGCTGCCTGTGAGGAAGCACTAAGTCTGTGAGTACCCAGGCAGCAGGTCCTTGTCACCATCACATTTTCAAGCAGCGTTAAACCAACCCTAGGGCTAATCCTTTGCTTCCAACAGGCGCTCAGGGAGGGTGGGTGAGACAGGAATGACGAGACGGTGGCACAGCAGAAAAGCTTCTTTTTAATCCCTGATATTTACCTGCTAAATGGCCACTGGTGCCATTCGTCTGCAATAAACAGGTGGTATTTTTAGCCTGTTGCCAGCCTGACTCATCCCTGCCTGGGTTTTATGTCGGTGAGAGGCTGCAGAGCTTCCCTGCCCTTTGTCTTAGAGCTTTTTCCTCCTGTTCTCAGAGCTCTTCCCACCTGCTGCTCAAACCTAATGGCAGGGAAGGAGGGTGTTCTCCGAGCACCAAACGAGGTATCAGAGGAGGATATTCTTGCTGTAATTCTTGCTGAATATATTCACATGGAGGTTTGTTTTAGTGAGAAGTTAATGGGTGAAGACGTGTGGGGTGAACTGTTGTGTTGTGTATCCGAATGCTGCAAGCCAGCGGGGAAGGGAGGCCTGGAGAAGAGAAGGTTCTGGGGAGACCATAGAGCAGCTTCCAGGGCTTAAAGGGGCTACAAGAAACCTGGAGAGGGGCTTTGGACAAGGGACGTAGGGACAGGACAAGGGGAATGGCTTGAAACAAGCAGGGGGGGGAGGAAGGAGGG